AATCAAAAGCAAATTAGTTACTTCTTATATATAATAAGTGTACAGGCATTGGGTAAATACACTCTTTCCAAATAAGAGAAATTGACCAAAACAAAGGGACTACAGATCCCATGCAAGTTCAAAATCCAGGAGGGCAGTCAAATTTGAAAACTCCAGAATGATCTTCTTTGACTCCATGTCTCACATCTGGGTAATGCTGATGTAAGAGGTGGGTTCTTGTGGTCTTGGGCAACTTGGCCCTTGTGGCTTTGCAGGGTATAGCCTCCCTCCAGGCTGCCTTCACAGGTTGGCATTGGTGTCTGTGTGTTTTCCAGGCACACAATACAAGCTGTAAGTGAATGTACTATTCTGGGGTCTGGAGAATGATGGCACTCTTCTCACAGCTCCACTAGCCAGTGTCTCAGTGGGTCCTCTGTGTGGAGGCTTCAATCCCACATTTATCTTCCACACTTCTCTAGCAGAGGTTCTCAAAGAGAGCCTCGCCTTCAGCAAACTTCTGCCTGGACATCCATGTATTTCCATCCTCTAAATTGTAGTCAGAGTTTCCCAAACCTCAATTATTGACTTCTGTGTACTTGCAGGCTCAACACCACATGGAAGCTGCCAAGGCTAAGGGCTTCCACCCACCAAAGCCATGGCCTGAGCTATACCTTGCCCCTTTTAGCCATAGCTGGAGTTGCTGAGAAAAAGGGCACCAAGACCCTAGGCTACACACAGTAGGGGTGCCTGGCCCTGGCCCATGAAACCATCAGAGGCCTCTGGGCCTGTGATGGGAGGGTCTACCACAAAGGTCTTTGACATGCCCTGGAGACATTTTCTCCACTGTCTTGGTGATTAACATTTGACTCCTTGTCACTTATACCAATATCTGCAGCAGGCTTGAATTTCTCCCCAGAAAATGGGTTATTTTCTATTGCATCATTAGGCTGCAAATTTTACAAACTTTTATGCTCTACTTCCTTTTGAACACTTTGCCACTTAGAAATTTCTTTCACCAGGTACCCTAAATCATCTCCTTCAAGTTGAAAGTTCCACAAATATCTAGGGCATGGGCAAAGTGCCACCAGTCTTTGCTAAAACATAGCAAGAGTCACCTTTACTTCAGTTCCCAACAAAGTTTCATCTCTACCTGACTCCACCTCAGCCTGATTTTTTATCCATATTATTATCAGCACTTTAGTCAAAGCCATTCAGCAAGTCTCTAGGAAATTCCAAACTTTCCCACATCCTTCTGTCGTCTGAGCCCTCCAAATCTCTAGGAACTTCCAAACATTCCCACATTTTCCTATCTTCTTTTGAGCCCTCCAAACTGTTCCAACTTCTTCCTGTTGCCCAGTTCCAAAGTTCTTCCACATTTTTGAGTATATTTACAGCAGCACCCTACTCTACCAATATCAATTTAACTTATTAGTCCATTTTCCTGCGGCTGATAAAGACATCCCCAAGACTGGGTAATTTACAAAGAAAAAGAGTTTTTATGGAGTCACATTTCTATGTAGCTTGGGAGGCCTCACAATTATGGTGGAAGGCAAAAATCTTGTCTTACATGCCAACAGACAGAGAGAATAAGAACCAAGTGGCATTATTTACTACCATGAGAAAAGTATGGGAGAAACTGCCCCCATAATTCAATTACCTCTCACTAGGTTCCTCCCACAACACGTGGGGATTAAGGGAACTACAGTTCAAGATGAGATTTGAGTGGAGAAATCACACTGCCAAACTATATCTGTCAAAGACAAAGAAAGAAGAAGAAAAATAAAATGAACAAAGCCTCCAAGAAGTTTGGGACTATGATAAACATCCAAACCTGAGAATAACTGGTGTTCCCAAGAAACAAGAGAAACCTAAAAGTTTGGAAAACATATCTGAGGGAATAATCAAGGAAAATTTTCTTGGCCTTGCTAAAGATATAAGAACCTTAAAGAACACCTAGGAAAATTATTGCAAAGAGATAATTTCCTAAGCACATAGTCATCAGGTTATCTAAAGTCAAGATGAAGGAAAGAATCTTAAGAGCTGTGAGGCAAAAGCATCAGGTAACCTGGAAAGGAAAACCTATCAGATTACCAGTAGATTTTTCAGCTGAAACCCTACAAACTAGAAGGGACTGGGGTTCTATTTTTAGCCTCCTTAAACAAAACAATTATCAGCCAAGAATTTTGTATCCAGTGAAATTTAGCTTCATAAATGAAAGAAAGATACAGTCTTTGCCAGATAAACAAATGCTGAAAGAATACACCACCACCAAGCCAGCACTACAAGGACTGCTAAAAGGACTTCTAAATACCCCCCAGAGAATCTAAAAATACACCAAAGTAGAACCTCCTTAAAGTATCTCACAAGACCTATATAACAATAACACAATAAAAAAAAAACCAAGGTATTTAGGCAACAAATAGCACAAAGAATAGAATAGTACCTCCCATTTCAATACTAACATTAAATGTAAATGGCCTAAATCCTCTACTTAAAAGATAAAGAATGAAAGAATGAATAAAAGTTTATCAATCAAGTTTCTGCTATCTTTGGCAGGCTCACCTAACACATAAGGGCTCACATAAACTTAAGGTAAAGAGACAGAAAAAGATATTCCATGCAATTGGACATCAAAAGCAAGCAGAAGTAGTTATTTTTACATCAGATAAAACAATAAAGTCATAGCAGTTAAAAAAGACAAAGAGGGATATTATATAATGATAAAAGCACTAGTCAACAGGAAATACCACAGTTCTAAATGTATATGCACCTAGCACTAAAGCTCCCAAATTTATAAAACAATTATTACTAGATGTAAAAATGAGATAGATGGTAACACAATAATAGGAGGGTACTTTAACACGCCACTGACATCATTAGACAGGTCATCAAGACAGAAAATCAACAAAGAAACAACAGACTTAAATTTTATGGTACAACAAATGAACTTAACAGATATTTACTAAACATTCCACCCAACAACTGCAGAATGTACACTCGTTAGCACATAGGACATTCTCCGAGAGATCATATGATAGGTCACAAGACAAATCTCAGTAAATTTAAGAAAATGGAAATTTTGTCAAATGCTCTCTCAGACCCCAGGAGAATAAAATTGGAAATCAACTCCAAAAGAAACCCTCAAAACCATGTAAATTTATAAAAATTAAATAACCTTTTCCTGAATTATTGTTGGGTCAACAATAAAATCAAGATGGAAATTAAAAAATTATTTGAACTGAACAATAATAGTGACACAACTTATCAAAACCTCTGAGATACAGCTAATGTGGTGATAAGAGGAAAGTTTGTAGCATTAAATGCCTACATCAAAATGTCTGAAAAGGCACAAATAGACAATTTAAAGTCACACCTCATGGCACTGCAGAAACAAGAACAATAGAATAATCCAAACCCAAACCCAGCAGAAGAAAATAAATAAGATCAAGGCAGAACTAAATGAAACTGAAACAAACAAAAACAATATCAAAGATAAATGAAACAAAAAGCTGGTTCTTTAAAAAATGTATATATAAAATTAATGGACTATTAGTGAGATGAGATGAATCAAAAAAGAAAAGAGGAGATCCAAAGAAATACAAAAGATTATTCAAGGCTCCTATGAACACCTTTACATGCATAAACTAGAAAATCTAGAGGAGATGCATAAATTCCTGGAAATATACAACTCTCCTATATTAAACCAGGAAGATACAGAATCTCTGAATAGACCAATAACAAGCCACAAGATTGAAATAGTGATAAAAACATGGCCAACAGGCTGGGCATGGTGGTTGACACCTGTAATCCCAGCACTTGGGGAACCTGAGGTGGGCAGATCACCTAAGATCAGGAGTTACAGCCTGGCCAACCTGGCAAAACCTGATCTCTACTAAAAACACAAAAATAGCAGGTGTGGTGTCATGTGCCTGCAGTCCCATCTACTTGGGAGGCTGAGGCAGGAGAATTGCTTGAACTCAAGAGGCAGAGGTTGCAATGAGCTAAGATCATGCCACTGCACTCCAGTCTTGGTGACAGAGCAAGACTCTGCCTCAAAACAAAAACAAAACAAAACAAACCCAATAAGAAAAAAAGTCTAGAACCAGATGGATTCACAGCTGAATTATATCAGGCATTCAAATAAGAATCAGTACCAATGCTATTGACATATTCCAAAAGAGAAAGAAAGAGAGGGGGGGAAAGGGGGGAGGGGGCGAGGGGGGGGAATCTCCCTAAATCATTCCATGAGGCCAGTATCACCCTAATGCCAAAAGCAGGGAAGGACATAACCAAAAAAGAAAACTACAGTGTAGGGGGCTCATGGCAACATATTAAAGCTTATGTACATGCCATTTGAGGTCAGTCATGGAAAAATACTGAGGCACTGTGCATATGTTATTTGTGCATGGAAATGAAATTCCTTGACTCTGAAAACAGGACAGGGAGTGGAGTGTGTGGTGTGATAAGGAACATTGAAAACAGCCTCCCGAGAATGCAGTTTGAGTGTTGTGCAAGGTCACAGGTGCCTCAGCAACTCACCTCAAGTGACCATCTAGTGGATATTTGTAGTTAATACAAGCCCTTTCAATAAATACTTGGTGGATGGATGCTGGGGTGGACTCTTTCGGAAGAGCGACCCCCAAGCCCTGCTCAGCTGGAAGTGTCTGATAGCTTCATTCTTGGCTTTCACTGCAAGTTATAAGCTCTGCAACTGGTGATCTCGATGTGATCACCTTGAATTTATGAGTGAAGAAGAGCTCATCAATATTCAGGGAATCCAGGTAAAGGAGTCTTGACTTGTATCAGGAGGCTGGGATGCCAAAGCATAATTAAGTTTAATTCATCTTCTCAGGGCAAGTGTAGCAACAGGTGTATAAAATATCAGGGGTTAGGTTATCGTGGGTCAAAAAATAACCAAAGAGCAGAAAGTGTTTTTTAAAACAGTGCAACAGCTACCTAAGGCTATCCAGTGCACTGTAGAGCCTGGAGCTCTACACAAGCTTATGCTTTTAATTTGGCAGGAATCTCCTTGGTTTCCTGGTCAAAGAACCTTAGATTTAGAGTTATGGGAGCAGGTAAGTCGCTACCTGAAAAGAGGATATGAGCAAGGTCATTTTACTAATGTTACTATTTTGAACACCTGGGTTCTGGTACACTCTGTATTGTATCCTCTACCTGCTATATTGTGGTGAGTCAGACCACCCATCTTCTCCACCTGAAGGAAATTCAGGAGATTTAAAGGAGAAGGAAAAGCAGAAACCAGAACAACAGGGAGAGACCCCTCTCTCTCTTTCATTTCCTTCTGTGGGGAATAAGGAAGAGATTTTTTGCAGTGAGGATAAGGACAGACTGGAGCCTTTTCCTCCCCCCAATAGAAAAGCTACTGCCCTCTTTTTCTCCACCCTTAAAGGGACCTGCATCTGTTGGCTCCGTCCAGGAAACAGTGCCTCCTATCCCCCTTGAGGAGATTGGAGGCCAATTTCCTAAGGGACAGTTCTTAGATAAGACCCCTGGTCAGAGGACATCTATATGATTGGATGTCTGCATCTCCTTGACAAACTTCCCCACTGGAGGGGTGACCCAGGAGGGAAGGAGAGTGACTGACTATAATTGTCTTCCTAATATGCATGCTCTCACTACTTCCTACTTCCAGCATCGGCCTTTCTGGTTTTGTCTGTTTTCTGTTTCCCTGGAGTATAAGGGAAAGTTGCAGGCTGCCTCTTGAGTTTTATCTAAGATAGCACTGGCTTTCTTGCTGCACACTGAGGCCTGGGGCAGGAGAGGTGCTAAGATGCCATGGAGTGCCCACTTAGTCACTAGCAATCTAGGCAAGTTGCCCCTTTCTGAGTTTGTGGTGACAAAATGGAGGCCAAGAACCACAGACCGAGTCCCGGGGTGGCTGCAGGCAGCTCCAGCTTGGTCCTCAGAATCCTCCTCGCCATGGTCACCTGCCTTAGTAACTGTGCCCAGAAAGTGGCCTGCTGCTTGTTGTGCTGCTGCTTTTCCTACTCCTGCCACCCCTCACAGGTCCAGCTGACAAACAATTCCTCATCTTCCCTGGCCCCCAGGGGAAAGGGCTAAGAAACAGTCCATGTGCGCCCGTCTTACTAGCCTAAGGTGGGCAGAGGAGTGTAGAGCAGCCTAGAGTACAGAGCTCTGGGGGAGAAGCCCGCTAATAAGGGGTGCTCTCCTGTAGCCATATGTTAAATACTAGGCTGGGGTAGACGAGCTCTGCCAGCTGCTGTCATCTTCAGAAGATAGACGCAGCAGTAAGAAATGTTTGTTTCACTTTTTAATAAAATGTTTAAAAAACACTGTGCTGCATGTCTGCTCCTCCCCTGAGCCTCTCTGCTTGAGGGTGGTAAAAATAATAAAAAGCCCAATATGTTTTCAGTACCTTACGTAACAGGGTTGGCTCCAAGCATAGGTGGTCTAGAGGATGAGGAGAGTAGTCTTCTCCCAGGCTGTTACCTTCTTGCCTCTTGCCTCTGTGCTTACGTACGCACACTTGACCACCTGGTCATTCTCTAGCCCCTTACTGCCTCTTGTAGTCTTCCTTCCTTCCTCTCAGGGCAAGAGTTTCAACAGGTGGCAGGCTGTTAGAGAGAGGCTGTCTAAGGAGCCCAGAGCAGCTGGGAAGAAACCAGCCCCAGCCTTGCTTTCCCAAGCTCTCTTCTGAAACATTCCAGCTAAAGGCTAATGCAAGAAAATGTCCAGCACCTAAAGACCTTTTTAAAAGTTTTTTTTTTTAAATACACATAAGCTAACTCAATGCAAGTTTATTATCCTGGCAAATTTCAGTCACATTTTAATGACTTTCAAAGGCCAAAATATGGTAAAAATCACTTAAAATATCTATCCCTTCCATGCCTTAGTTTAACAGGTAGGCTTTATCTTTTGCCATTTCCATATTTTTATGTGCTGTGTACCTGTCTCATAACCCCTCTAAATATATACAAAAGACCACAGATTTACTAGCTTCTCTTATCATAAAGGAACACCAGCATTGTGTCCAGTTGTCAGGATATGACCCTGATACTCTTTTCCTACCATTAAGCGAGGAGCAATTTCATACTCTCTTAGCTTGTAATCTTAATTGGCAAGTAGCTCTGGCTGACTTTCTTGGTAATATCAGCTTCCATTTACCAGCCTCTAAGCTTCTAAACTTTTTACAAACTGTGCCTGTTAAATTTGTATCTATTGTTGTTTCTAAGCCTTTGTTTCACACCACTACTGTCTTTACAGATGGCTCAAGAAAAACTGAAAAGGCAGCTATAGTGTGGCATTTAAATCTTGCACACGTGAAGGGGATTACTAATTAATCTCTACTAAATTTGTTTCTTACAGTGCAAAGCCTCCTCTATGCCCATCATCACTATTTTTACATAACACATATTCGCTCTCATTCTAGGTTACCTGGTCCCTTATCAGAAGGGAATGCTTGACCTAATGCTCTGGTACAACGACAAATGTGGTTTGCTAACTTTCCTGCTTTATTACAAGCTAAAGCTAATCATGCTGGGGTTTTTTTCCATCAAAATGCCAGCACTCTTAAACAACAGTTTCATGTAACACTTGCTCAAGCTCACATAATCATTAAAAGTTGACAACGGCATTCTCTCACCCTTTTTTCCTTGGCTTGGTGCCAACCCACAAGGTCTGGTGCCTAGCGCTATCTTGCAAACTGATATTACTCAGTATCCACCCTTTAGACTTTTAAAATTTCTCCACGTTACCATGGACATGTATACAGGCTTGATAAAGGCTACCCTCTGGAAGAAGGAAAAATTTAAGATGCAATTACTCATTTGTTTAAACCTTTTATAACTTTAGGCCTTTCAGAAACTACAAAAACTAATAATGGCCTTTGCTATCTTAGTGCTCAGTTTACATATGTATTGCAACTTTAACACATACAACACAAAACTGGCATCCCCTAATTACTCAACAAGTTAGGCCATTATTGAATAAACTCTAACTCTTAAAGTATATCATAATAAACAAAAAAGGGGGAATATGGGGCTCCTTCATTGAAAAAAGGACCTGTTATTGGAGAATTGACCAGCAATGATGGTGATGACTCGGAAGGCATCTGACATTACGTAAGGACAGCTAAAGAAACAGGATAAACAACAAACTATCTGGCTAGCCACCATGGAAGTCCCTGCAAGTCCAGAAAATCAATTTGTCATGTATTTGGTGGTAACTGGGGAGACTTCTAAGAAAGTAAGATAGAGATGCATGTTAGGGTGGCTGGTGATTCTTGTCCTTTGCCAAGTGGGATCAGCTTAAGAACATGCTTACTGGAGTCATGTTCTAAATCCCTCTGTTTTTAATGTTATTACATGGTGGGATGCTGACCTATCTTTGTCATCTAATGATATTTCTTAGACAGGAGGTCAATAGATGCTCCCATCTTACCCCTTAATTGAAAATTTGAGATGGATTAAACTTAATTATGCCTTGACTTTATTGTTCAGTAATCCCCCTCTTTGTTTTCCACAATAGCACATGACAAGTTTGTTACTCTCATTCCTCAGGAGTATTTTTACTTTCAGATGGCATATACTATCCAAGTAGGGACTGGTGATATAAGTTTGAGGCTGTCCAGTGGTCTCTGTGCAGACAGCTTGCACCATACCAAGGGCCTCTGTTTGTTAATGGCAGCTTACTTGATTGGGGTTCCCACAGTTATCTTATGTCTGCAAATCAAACTACTGGATTTGGGAGTCTCTCCAATAGTTCTATCACCTGGTCAGAGTATGAGCTTTTCAGGACCAATATTACAACTGAAAGGGAAACAAGCTTTAAGCCTGCTCATACTCAAATTTGGAGACTAGGTCTTCCTTTTTTAAAACAGTTCTTTCACATGGTGAGTATGTTACTAGTGGTGAAAACTATGCCTTTGCTTTGCAGAATAATGCTAGTGATACAGTCCTGATTTGTACTATGCACCCTTATATACTTCTGTTTGGGCAAGGTGTTCCTAACATAAAGCAGAACCAATCCATTATAATATTAAAGCCTCTTCTTGTAGTTGGTATGCTACATCCTTGTCTTAACAAAGCGTTGTACAGTTAAATATAACCTATGTCATGATTTTAAAATGGCATGAAGAATTATGGCTGCCTGTAAGTTTAACCTGGAACTGGGAAGGAGATTCCACCTTGCAGTAATTTAGAAAAGCACATCTGCAAGGGGCTTATCATGACTATTTGTCTTCTCAAATTTCCACTTTTGAGTGTTAATTAAAGAAACAACTTGGAGGAATGATCACAGCAATTACAGACAAGTACCCTTAAGTAATTGCAAAAAGGCTTTCAATGGTTACACTCAAACACTTAGTTGTGTGGCTAAACACACATATTTGGGTGATGGCTGCTATACTTATCTTTTTTGTATCTGTTTGCTAGGCATTTGCAGATGGCTCTTTGCTGCCACCTGATGCATCTATAACCAGGGAAGAGCTTACCTTGCATTGGATGGTGTAATAATTAAAGAAGGGGGAGATGTAGGGGGTGCATGGCAACATATTAAAGCTTATGTACATGGAGTTTGAGGTTGGGCATGGAAAAATACTGAAGCACTGTGTATGCTATTTCTGCATAGGAATGAGACTCTTGTCCCTGAAAACAGGACAGGGAGTGGAGTGTGTGGTGTGATAAGAAATGCTGTAAATAGCCTCCTGAGAATGCAGCTTGAATGATGTGCAAGGTCACAGGTGCCTCAGTAGCCCACCTCAAATGACCATCTAGTGGATGTTTGTAGTTAATACAAGCCCTTTCAATAAATACTTGGTGGACGGATGCTGGGAAAGACTCTCTTGGAAGAGCTTCCCCTATCCCCGCTCAGCTGGAAGTGTCTGAGTACTTCATTCTTGGCATTCACTGCAAGCTATAAGCTCTGCATTGCAGACCGGGCACAGTGGCTCATGACTGTAATTCCAGCACTCTGGGAGGCTGAGGCGGGCAGATCATGAGGTCAGGAGATTGAGACCATCCTCACCAACATGGTGAAACCTCATCTATACTAAAAATAAAAAAAAAATAGCTGGCCATGGTGGCATGTGCTTATAATCACAGCTACTCAGGAGGCTAAGGCAGGAGAACTGCTCGAACTCAGGAGGCAGAGATTGCAGTGAGCTGAGATTGCACCACTGCATTCCATCCTGGCGACAGAGCTAGAGTCCATCTCCGAAAAAAAAAAAAAGCTACAGACCAATATCCCTGATGAACATAGATGCTAAAATCCTTAACAAAATACTAGCAAACTGAATTCAACTACATATCAAAAAGATAACCCACCATGATCGAGTGGATTTTATACCAGAAATTCAGGGATGGCTTAACATATACGAGTCAATAAATGTGATATACCACATAAACAGAATTAAAAACAAAAATTGGCCGGGCGTGGTGGCTCACGCCTGTAATCCCAGCATTTTGGGAGGCCGAGGCGCATGGATCACGAGGTCAAGAGTTCGTAGACCATCCTGGTCAACATGGTGAAACCC